TGTTCAAACAGTATTGTATTAGAGACCCTCAAAACTCAAAGACTATTAGCTAAACTGTAAAAGAAACAAAATTTGTTAATTGTTAAATGGTTGAGTAATCGATAACTTCTTACCACAAAATTTCAAACCGATTTTCTGAAAAATTTACTTTTGTTAGTTGTGTCACTCTTGTAACAAACCGACGACATGTAATACTGCTTTTTGTATTTTTTCAATTTCTTCTTTGAGTTTGTTAATACTACATAGTTGTTGCAATTTCAAATAAAGAAGTTGAACTTTGTGCGCGTTATATCTGCTAAATTGATCTCGATATTATAATATAGTTTTTGAAGAAGATAATCTTAAACGAAAACTTTTAACACATTCATTAATACTAAATATTTACAGTTGCTAAAAGTGATAAAATTGATCTTGCACGACTTGTCTTTGTTAGTCGATTAAAGACTTACGTTAAGAATAATTTTCTCCTATTATCGATGGAAAAATTTGTTCTGACGAGCTTCAACTTATTTTGTTCCATTGATACAGAAAATTTCGTCAAACTTACTCAATTGACAATTTTAGTAAAAAAAAATTTACAATAATTCTTTATGCAAAAATTTACAATTTTTACAAAAGTATTTATATAGTTCTTTGTGGAAAAGTGAAAAGATTGTGATTTTAAATTTCTTGGGACAACCTGAAAATTTTCACGATCATTCCCTACGGTCACGTTGTCATTACTTTCAACAACACACAATGGAGTATTTTATTTAAAAAGCTGGTCGAAATTCAAAATTTTAACCCTAATTAAAAACCAAAAAAAGTGCTTTCTTCTTATAATATTATTAAAATGAAATATCGTAACGGCCATTTTTGTGACGTCAGAATTTAGGCAGAAGAAGAAGGCCATGCAAAAAGGATTTTTGTTTATTTATAAGCAATCTAACATTTCTATAATATTATGTAAAAACTATTCAAAACTTTGTAGTAAATTCTTGTTTTCTCTACTTACATACACATAAGCCACTCTTAATTTTTAGATTAATTCCACTTTTCGAAATTCTTCCAATTTTAGTATCAAAGCACGTGCTTCGTAAATAAAAAAAAATTTAATAAATGTTATTTGACGAAGGTAGTCACTTTTGCTTCCGAGTGGTTCGTATGTAACTCTCAAATTAAGAGTTTCAACATGAAAATTTCATAATAAAATAGATCATGTCTATAAATCGGCTTATTTCGGAATTTTTTATTCTCCTATAAAGTTTTCACGTAGAATTGTATTAAAAAATTAGTTCCATCATTTCTAACATTTGGCTCCTCTAAAACAAGTTAAATAATGTCGATCAACTTTTTCATACAAACACTCCACTGTGCAACGTCTAAATTCTGAAACACCGAAACGAACGTGATACAGGCGATCAATAGAGAGGACCTTGGAAATCGAAGATCAAGAGTAGTATCTAGTACTCCCACCATAGGTAAGTACTCTCGCGTAGTGTTAATACAGGCTCCGCTGGTACCCCTTCCTCGATAGAGTCCGCGGAAGGTCCGATCCTTGGACACTTTCTTATAAATGAAGGTTGACCACTGGCTCGTTTCTCATTTAACGCTCCATCCCTCGTACTCGGAGGGCTCGATCTCTATGTACATCAGCGCACACCCACGTATAAGCGCTTCCTTTTGTTGTTCTTTCATTTTGCCTCAGTGTATCTATGTGTCGAATTAATGGTGATACCCTAATTGTTTACATTTTTCTTCTCTACACGGGTGGTAACTGAAACTGAAAGACAGCCACACGACAAATATAACGTAAGTATCGACCAAAGTGATAAATTCAAGTGCGAGACATGTACGTGATAATATATGATGAAATTGGCAATTGTTGAAAAATTGTGTCGGATCGCTGATATCGATTGTTCGTGATAATTGTTGGCCATTGATACGTTTAACGAACGGTCCGGCGAGTAAAATATTGTACAGCTACGTGACATCGATGAAAGTTTTCAATGTTCGAGTGAGAGATAGCATTATGGAAATTAGGCGGTGAGGAATGGTTTAATTAATTCAAGTTAAACAAGACAGGAGAGCACTTGTGTTGTTACCTGTATAGCTTGTACGTTTAGTGGACTGGAAACGTACATAGGTGTAATATTGAAACTGGTAGCTTATCGATTTGTATTATCAAGACGGTCTTCTATTCGATGAAATTATTGTGTTTTTATAAAGTATTTGTTAAAAAAAAAAAAGAATACTTTTCATGATTAACTACTTTTTATTTACAATTTTACTGCTTAATACAGTTTTCCAAAAGTTTGTCGCGGACATTTGTAAGGGATCAGGACGAGTTTTCCTCGGCCTTCTACGTTTATATGTTTCAATATACCCCTTAGGTTTCGATGATAATATTTTTTGAAAAGGAAATTTCTAATTACGTTAAATGAACTGGAATTAATTTATTCGTGAATATATTCAATTTTCTCTCTTTTGGGGCTCCTTGTTTTAATTCATACGCAAGTAACGATAAAGCAATTCCATTGAAAAATACGAATTAACTTTTAAAAAAATAATAAAAGGGACATTTAAAGAAGAATAACAGAAGAATGAATTTTATTACACTTTTTTCACTATTAAATTTAACAGTACTACATTAAACCTTCTGTACTACTTAATTGTTTTTTCTTATCTTATTAAAACACCTTACTTCTACGTGTAATAAGGGTACTGTTCTTATTACACTTTGGAGACTCTCTTTTGCATGAAAATATTAAAAAGCATGTTAATTTAAACTGAATATAGAGTTTCCAATTAATACGTTACTTTCACGAATTTTTGCATGATAAACGTTTCAACTCCTATATCATAGTTAACCGTACATTCTTTCTCCAAATATTAAGAGGGGAACTAATTTCAATTTATTAATACAGCTTCCAATTCGAACAATTTGTTTCGAGTTTTTATACACATACATATAATATATCATAAATTGTAGAAAATTCTGCTAATTTACGTTATAACAAGTAACTTCCACAAGTTTGAAGAAAATTTCATCGCAAGTGGTCGTATGTAGTCCTTTCTAATAAAGAGCAATAATTATACGGTGACGCACAGCGTGACCCACCCCTGACCCATTGGTGGGCCACGTCAATGAACGAGAATATCATTCGATGACCCACCAGTGGGTCACGCCGCCTTGAACATGTTAACTGGCATAGTTCTCTCACAACTATCAATTCAAAACATACAGTTTCCCGAATTAATAATCGGACACCTTTTAGAACAGTATACCTTTCTTTAAATTGGACTAAACGATTAGAGTTTTTTTTGAGAAGTTAGAGGGATTAGCTTACCAGATGACGTGTGTACAAAATGTTAAAAAAAAATTGCAGTTGATGGGAATCGAGAAGAAAATTGTAAAGGTCACTTTTTCCAACTTTTTTATCCGAGCCTACAGTGAAAATTTGAAACATACGTTTTGCAGATTTATGTCAGTTATATGCATGCTGAAAATTTCATGAAAATCGGTCGATGCAGAAACAAGCGACAGGCGTCGAAAGATGTAAGAATCTTTAGAATTGATTACAGTTTTAAAAACTGCGATTTTCACAATATTTAACAGTTTGTAGCTGTAAAGTGACCTGTACAATTTTCTTCGCGATTTCTACAAAGTGCAATTTTTTCTGATCCATTTTTTGTTTGATCCAATTTTTAATAAATTATACTGCTCTAAATGGTGTCCGAATATTTGAGTACTGAACAGTACGTAATACTATGAACGAAGCAAATCTGTGTTCATTAACAATTCAACGAAGAGCCTTGTCGGTTTTATGGAAAATTCTGTTACAAGAAATTATAATTAATTGCCAAAGGACACTAAACGCCTCCGTGCATGCGCATAATGGCACGTGTGCGACTTTACACATATGATAACTAACACGATCGTTTTGCATTCCGGAACTCATTCCAAAAAGTACGACTCACGCACGGATTTCTTAGGATTAGCTGCGCGTTTCGTGTTTCAGCCTAATTGCGGCTCGAGACATTTATCAGGATACATCGAGACAGTGGCGTGCGCGTGTACGGTGAACACGGCTACAGACCGAACCGCAATTCCAGTATTGTTTTGCATTATTTGCGTAACCTGTGTTACGAAAGTGTAAACAGATATATGCATAACTGGCCACAATTGCTCGTGTGTATGCTTTCAAAAATCCAACGATTGAATTATATTTCCTGAATACTCGAGAGAACCTGTCTCGATCTATACCGATGATAGGAAAATGTCGGTTCACGGTGCAATTAAATTTACGACGCGCTTCTGTTTCGTTTCTTTTCTTTCATTGCGATATCAGCACTCTCGCAGCCGACAATTTTTCTCACTTTAAAGTATTACGTTTGTAATTATTTGTTATTCGAAATTGACGAAAATTTATTCGATATCTATTCACTTTAGCTTTTTCGCATTTTATCGAGAAAATTCGCAGGTTACAACTAATTTCACCACTGTTAATACTCGCTTCTGTTCATTTGAAATTAAAATGTAAAAAGACGTAATACTGCGCCAACGGCTACGCGTGTGATCAGAGTTAAAAAGGTGGTTACGCGTACTTGGTTGTGTAGTTTAAAATTGAAACGTGTGAAATAGGTCTTGAGTGGTTGATGGATTAGTTTTTAATGGTTATTTTGAATGTTTCGTTAAGTAGCGTTTTTTCTATATGATATACAGTTATAGTAGATTACATTTTAAAGCAGTTCGATAATTGTGTTAAATATAATTCTAAGATACCGAGGAAGATACTGTAATCATAGAATGGTTAATCTGTTTGATCCTATATTCTAATTTTACCGCTGTTCACCAAATTATGAATCATTTTTAGCCTCGTAGTAGGTATTTAGTTCGCATAAAAATAGGCTAGTGCTGTATGGTGGATAATAGTTGTGTAGGTACCTGAAATTTTTCCGAAAGTTTCGTTTAATTTGTTGAACCATCCTACAAGGTTTTAATAAATTTCCTTAATGTTAGCACCTTGTTTCATTCTTTTAGAAATATCGAAGAGTGTAGAACACGTACAATGAAAAATACGAAAGTTTCTTTATGAATTTGTGCGAATATACATATTCAGAATATGTATGTTTCGAAATTTTTTATTTCTGCTTTTCTTAAGTAGCTATAAGAATCTCACTGCACGGTAAGTCGTAAATATGCACAGTAATATATTTATCGAGGAATTTAACACCTACTTCAGTAATAATAGATTCACTACTGTACGCTGATTAAAATAATTAATGGTTCACATAAATAACTTTGTATTTGAATGCAGTTACATACCTAGTATCTTGGAATGTCTTCAACGCAATACAAATGATCAGAAAATATTAATTATCCAACATGTACCATATTTATTTCACTTCTATAAATTCTATATTCTACATAGCTACGAAAACTACATGGTTGGTTTTTATTAACATTATTTTTAACAACCTTTTGCATTGTGCAGAATGATGCACTGGTTACATCTTACTGGATTTAGGTAATAAATTAAAAGATGACATTTCGATTATAACCTCTTCTTTATTTTTTTATACGCGAGGAAGGCACGTCTCTAAGCAATCATAAGAGATCGACAAGACGCTAAAGAAAAAAAGAAGTATATCAGCGTCTACCCATGCTAAACAGATGGTTACTATGTTATTCTTCTATATATGTTTCTCGTAATAATCCAACAGATCTCTTATACAGTAAACGATATTAACACTAACCGTACCATGGCCTGGTCAAATGACCGGTTTTAAAATTACAATTTAAGACCATGCACCTGTTTTCCCCCTGTATTTTCTTAAAAATAAAAATATGTAATTTTTTTTATATTATTATTATCTAAAGGCTGTTTCCTATATTAAATTGACAATCACCAGCATTCTTTTCGGAAGAAATATGATTATTTCGTAACCGGTCATTTGCCCGGATAAGTGTCGGTACGGTTAGTGTTAAAAAGTGATCGAGGGGAAAGTTGAATTTTGGTAGGACTGACATTCCTTTTTGAAATACAACCGTATATGTATGTGCAGTAATCCCCGGATAAGTGTCGCACTTTTCCCCGGATAACTGTCGTAGAGCTATCCTCACCAAATCCTGGAGCGTTCGCGTTATCTTTGACTTGTGATTGGCGATACAAGCTATCAGTGAGTCATCGAGATAAGGGAAACAAAAATTTTTATTTTATAATTATGGGATTATTTTAATCGTATTTCTGAGGTTTTTCCAAGAAAAATGATACCAAACGTATTTTAACGAATTTGAAATATTTTGATGTTTCTCAATGTTTCTCAATTTCTTCTTCAATGCACCAAAGCCAGCGAACCGAAGAGAGATAGCCAGCGAATCTTAGAACGCTTACCTCCCCGGATAAGTGTCGGAATACGGTCCTGAATCTCCGACACTCATCCGGGGATTACTGTATATACGTTTTTTACATAAATCGGTTCTTTTGAGCGTTCTGCGTATACAGGTATTAAAAGTTTCCGAAAAATGAATTATTTAGAAGATATTTAAACTTTTGCATTAAAGTATAGTATTATACATATTCCAGAAAGGGTATTACATTTAATTATCCTTATGAATAAAGCAACTTCGAATTAGTTTAGTTTGTAGTTTCGTAAAAAGAAAATTGTGCAGTCTTCCTCTTGAGTTGAAAGAAGTTTCGTAAATTCATTTGACATGCTAACATACTTATTTCCTTTTTAACACTAACCGTACCGACACTTATCCGGGCAAATGACCGGTTACGAAATAATCATATTTCTTCCGAAAG